AAAAAAAGAAAAAAATAATAATCCCAACCAAGAAAATTAACCTTAAACATTAGAAAAAAAATTATTTTCTTCCAAGAAAAGCCCCATAACTATGTGTTGATATATTGAGCACAAAAAAAAAAGATTTATTAATATCTTGCTGAAGAGGTATTGAGCAGATATATAAATTTAATGAGAGTTTGTTTATCTAGATAGATTAATGGAAGTTGAATGATGAATACCTTACTTTGTGGATTTGCAAATTATTTTTCTATTTTAACACTTTGATTACTAGGGACAAGTAATAAGTTGGTTGGGGGTGTGATTAATACTTAAAAGTATATTTTTATCAAGGTTTTATATTATCATTTTGTACTTGAAATATCAATAACTCCTTAACTAAAACATGTTTTATAATAACATATCTAATAATATATGATACCTTTAATTTGTGGTAAATTTTCATTTTAAATATAGGCCTATCACATAAATGAAAGGATTGATTGATGACTTTAAGAACTGAAATTGAAAGGATAAAAAGATGGCCAAACATAGAAAAGAGATATTGGTGCAGTCCAAACCAGAATACTATTCAGTAATTGGGTCATATATGGAGTTGTAGATCTTGAATTTAGGTCTACTTTATATGGATGGAAAGGTAAGACATAAGCCTACAACTTTCATATAGAGTTCAAGATTTAAAAAGGCTAGTTTCAAGTTCAAATTATAGCAACAACAAAGAAGTCCGAATATATCCTACAACTCGCACACTGTTCAATGTTTGGCCCATATCTGGAGTTCAAGAAGTCCAAATGACCTCTATTGTTTTTTCTTGAAAAGCTGAGACAATTTCCCACAACTTTCATGTTTTCAAGTGATTTCAATTCTGATGTTATCAATGATGTTTTTGACAGATAATTAAAGATAAGGATTGTCACCAAGTCAAAAGTTGGCCACCCACTCATCAATTAGTCAGCAAATCAATAGTTCCAAATTTTGGCCTATGAAATGAGGCATTTGTCATGTATTTAGGCATCTTGGTTTTTAGAACAAGATCATGCTCTTGCTTTCTCTCTTTGTATTTTTTGTATTACTTATGTTTTGCTTTCATTAATATCAAGTTTATGCCTTTCATTTCCTTTCCTTTACTTAGTTAAGTTTTATCTTATTTTTGTTCTTATTTTTTTTTTCTTTCATTATGTTGAGCTAACTTTATTATGTCAAGGTGAAAATGTTACATTAATGGTGTAAGAATAAGTATAGTGTAAACTTACTATGGACTTTAATGTTTGATACTAATATATTTTGTATTTATTATCTTGTTCACTCTTTAATACTTTGCTTGTTAAATTAATAATCTTGATTTGTTGTTAACATAAGTTATAATCATGAATGTCTGTCAAGATTTACAAGGATTAACATTAATCGAATAAGATAACTAATGTAATCATGTTAATAATTTATAATCTAATCGAAACCTCCTTTGTGTGTGGTTTCCAATTGAATAGTAAGAGTTTATACTATACTTATTTGACATACCATTAGTGAATCCTTTAACCTTAACATTTGTTGTTATCATTGTTTAATCCTCACATTGATCTTTCATGGTTAAACATTACATTCATTCGAACAAACATTGTGGAGACATGTAGTTCCTTTCCAATTGTTTTTCCATTGATTGCCCCTTGTGCTAAAGTTTTGGAAACGACCCCCAAAACTTGACTACCTCCTAAAAATATAGTTATTGACACACCTTCCATTAACCTAAGACTTCCTCCCCTATACACTAAATGAATCTTTCTCTCAGCTAGCACCTGCCCAAGATGATTTGCTGATTCTAAAAACTCCTCTTTTTCAAGACTAGATCCACTAAAAATACAAACATTTTTTATGTGATGACCTTAGGAATTTGTCATTTCTACACATTTTTAAATTTTTTTTCATCAAAATGTAAGTGTATAAAAGATAAAAAAATATACATAGCTGGCGAACCAGCAAGTAAAACAAGCTGAAATGATCAGAAAAAGGAACAGGCTCCTTTTAGGACAGAAAAACAAGCTGATAAACGAAAGCAACTATTAAGAAGGGCCTTTAACAGAAGCCCAACATAACAGAAACCAAGAACAAAGAACAATGAATAAGTACAAACTGAATAGAAAACAAGAAAAAAGAACTCCGATGGAGTAGAAATAGCGGCAGCTACAAGATTAAAAACCCGAAGTCCACAAGCAAACAGCGAACGAGGCACACGCTGAAGCCAAAAGCAGACAAGCCGATAAGCACGAGGGGAAGCTGATTAGTACTTAAAAGTGCATTTTTTATCATGGTTTTACATCATCATTTTGCACTTGAAGTATCAATAACTCCTTAACTAAAGCATGTTTTATAATAATATATCTAATAATATAAGATACCTTTAATTTGTGGTAAATGTTCATTTTAAATGTAGGCCTATCACATAAATGAAAGGATTGATTGATGACTTTAAGAACTTAAATTGCAAGGGCAAAGAGATGACCAAAATTAGAAAAGAGATGTCAGTGCAATCCAAACCGGAATACTGTTCGGTAATTTGGTCATATCTAGAGCTATAGATCTCAGTTAGAAAAGAGATGTCGGTGCAATCCAAACCGGAATACTGTTCGGTAATTTGGTCATATCTGGACCTATAGATCTCAGATTTAGGTCGACTTTATATGGATGGAAAGGTAAGACATAGGCCTACAACTTTCATATGGGGCCCAAGATCTAAAAAGGTCATTTTCAAGTCCAAATTGTAGCAACAACAAAGAAGCCCAAAGTTGTCCTCCAGCCCGAGCACTGTTTAGTATTTTGGCCATATCTGGAGTTCTAGAAGTCCAAATGAGCTGAATTCGTTACACAAGAAAGTTGAGACAATTTCCTACAACTTTCATGTTTTCGAGTGGCTCCAATTTTGACGTTATCAATGACGTTTTAGGCAGACAAGAGAAGATAAGGATTGTCACCAAGTCAAGAGTTGGCTACCCACTCATCAATTAGTCATCAAATCAATAGTTTCCAATTTTGGCCTATAAAAGGAGGCATTTGCCATGCATTTAGGCATCTTGGTCTCTAGATCAAGATCATCCTTTTGCTTTCTCTCTTTGTATTTTTTGTAATGTTTATGCTTTACTTTCATTAATATCAAGTTTATGCCTTTCATTTCCTTTCATTTGCTTAGTTAACTTTTATCTTATTTATGTTCTTATTTTGTTTATTTATTTTTCTTTCTTTCATTATGTCTAACTAAGTTTATTATGTCAAGGTGAAAAGGCTACACTAATGGTGTAAGAGTCAAGGTGAAAAGGTTACACTAATGGTGTAAGAATAAGTATAGTGTAAACTTAATATGGACTTTAATGTTTGATACTAACATGTTTTGTATTTGTTATCTTGTTCACTCTTTAATACTTTGCTTGTTAAATGATTAATCTTGATTTATGTTGTATAACACTTGGTACAACAAATGCTTGGCACTTTCATAGCCCATAATGTATGGTATAACCGACACCTGAGCTATGAAAGGAACTTGATTTGTTGTTAACATAAGTTATAATCATGAATGCTTGATGAGATTTACAAGTATTAGCATTAATTGAATAAGATGACTAATATAATCATGTTAACAATGTATAATTTGATTGGAACCTCCTTTGTGTGTGGTTTCCAATTGAATAATAAGAGTTTATATTATACTTGTTTGACATACCATTAGTGGATCCTCTAACCTTGACATTGTTTGTTATCATTATTTAATCCTTACGTTAATTTTCCATCTCAAAGTTCTCATCAACTTTTCTTCTTCTTCTTCTTCTTCTTCTTTATTATTGTTATTATTGTTATTATTACTATTACTACTACTACTACTACTACTACTACTATTAGTATTATTAGTATTATTATTGCTACTATTATTATTGTTGTTTTTATTGTTACTATTGTTGTTGTTTATAATTGTTGTTTATAATTTGTATAATTAACCTCCTTGTGGTTCGACCCGGGTCTTACCAAGTTATTTATTATTTCGATACTCCTACGCTTGAGAAAAAATATCAATTTTTTAGTTATCTCAGAAGTCATGCAAGCCATGCAGAAAGACGCAAGGACAACGCAGACAAGAGGAGCTATTAAGAAGAATGAAGCACCAAAAGGACACCCTATGTGGAAAGAAGATGGAATCAGCCAATGAGGAGAGCACAAAACCCCACTAGACAGCCGGGGAAACAATATAGAGCCTGCAGCAATAAATGAGATAAATGCCAAACCACCTAGAGGATCCCCCACGTGGAAAGTAACCAAAAGCAGCTACAGAAGAAGAAGGGAAGCAACAAATAAGGAGAGCACACCACGGGCGAACAGCAAAAAGCACTCCTCGACGAAACAGATGGCATGCAAAACCATGCAAAGCAGGCAGACAGGGGACGACGAAGATAAAGCAAAGCACCCATACAATTCACCAAATGAACAGAGAGGCAAGACCAAGGAACAAAGAGAAAACCTTCAACCAACATGGATAAATGAATGATCCCGCTCATGAAAATGAAGAACAGTATAGAATAGGATCTGAAATCTGCAAAAGAGAGAGGCAATGGTAGAGCATATCCCCTCAAAAATTCTTTTATTCCTCTCCTCCTAGATAATATAGACTAGAATACCAAGAGAAACACGCCTCATTCTGCCCTCAGCATTCTTGCCTCCCCTATATAGACCTCGAATGGCACTACTTATGGAAGCCATGCTCCGTGATATGTGCAGCCATTGTTTAATCAATCCCTAGAGAGAAGCGGTCCAGTGACAACTGAAAAAGAGGTGGCTATGAGACTCTTCATCCACCTGGCAGAAAACACAAGATGAATCCGTTTGGATGAAATGGAGCCGATCTCGTGTGCGAAGTCGACCCAAAACAGCTAACCACAGGATGAAAATAAATCTTGGCATAGACCAAGGTTCCCAGACAACCTTTTCCCAACGGACTGGAGAACCCCGAAACCTCAAGAACTCATAGGCGTGGGCTGTGAATGGACCAGTAGAGCTGCTCTAGAGAGAGAGTCTGAGCGTGACCACCAGCCAGACCAACTAGTTGATCTCGCATGTTGATGATGGATTTCCATAAAGGAGAGGAACTTGGGGAAGCTGCTGCATCCCAAATGGTGTGGGACCGTAAATAGTAATGGTGTATCCATTGTATCCAAATAGAATCAGCTTTAAGATGAATGTTCCATAGCTGTTTAGCAAGACAGCTGTTATTGCGAGCCTTTATGTCAAATAGACCCAGACCGCCTTCGGCTTTAGGACGACAGACTGTGCGCCAAGCAACCAAAGCAGATTTGCTCCAAGAGACATTACCAGTCCACAAGAAATTTCGGTAGAGACAGATGATTTGCCTAATAACAGAGAGAGGGACAGGGAATATATTCAGTCAAGAGTGCACCATACCAAAAAGGACAGACTTTAGCAGCTCCATACGCCCAGCATAGCTAAGATGCTTCCCCAGCCAGCCATTAATAGTCAATTCTAACTTGTGAAGAAGAGGGGAGAATTGACTTGCTAGAAGCCGATGAGGGCTTAGAGGAACGCCAAGATAACGAAAGGGAAAGGAACCTTCAGCAAAGCCAATGTCCAAAAGAATAAGCTGCTTAATGCTGTTTGCCACCTCGCCAAAGAAAATGGAGGATTTGTTGGCGTTGATAACAAGACCTGAAGTCTGGCCAAAGGTGGTTAAATGCTGATACAAGGAAGAGACAGAATGCCTATCACCTCTTGAAAGAAGGATCACGTCATCAGCGAACGCAAGATGACAGATACTAAGAGACTTACACTTGGGGTGGAAACGGAAACCAGGAGACAGTGATGCCGAATGAAGCATTCTAGAGAGATATTCCATGCAAGCAAGAAAAAGGTAGGGTGATAGAGGATCACCTTGGCGAACACCATTCTTCCCAGGGAAAAACCCGAAAATACTGCCATTGACTGCAATAAAATATGAAGCAGTTTCAACACACTGCATAATTAAGTGGACAAAGCGGCTAGGGAACCCAAGCAACAATAGGAGCTGGCGGAGAAAGGGCCATTGGACCGAATCAAAGGCTTTTTTAAAATCAATCTTCAACAAGCAACGAGGAGAGGATCTTTTCCTTTCGTAATTGCGAAGGAGTTCCTGAAGTAAGTGAATATTGTCTGCCATCATTCGACCTCCTAGAAAGGCATTCTGCATAGGACTGATAATAGTGGCGAGAGCATTAGAGAGCCTCTGTGCAAGAATCTTGGCAATCACCTTATATATAACATTACAGCAGGAAATCGGCCGAAAATCGGAAGCAGATGAAGTATTGGCCGATTTAGGGATTAAAGCAATGATGGAGTGATTGATTTGTTTAAGCATGGCACCGGACTCAAAAAAGTCCCTAACTGCAAGACAGAAGTCCCCTCCTATAACATTCCAAGACTTTTTGAAAAAACAAGATGAGTATCCATCAAGACCAGGAGCTTTAGCATCATCAATGGCAAATAATACATTCTTGATGTCCAAGTCAGAGACTAGAGCAAGAAGAGAGGCATGAGAAGAAGCATCCAGACGAGGGCCATGCTGAATGATAGAAACATCCAGGGGGAGGGTGTCTGTAGGAGTGCCAAGAAGCCGGCTGTAATAATCAACGAAGACGGCCCCCACTTCATCAACAGAAGTAGTAAGCGTGCCATCTGATTCTGCCAATGCTTCTTACTCATAAGAGCATGAAAGAAAGAGGTACCTTTGTCACACTCCTTGAAAAAATGGCATTTGAGTTTCTGAGAAAAGAACTGTCTTTAAGCTTCTTTAAGATGTAGAAGCTCCTACCGGAGAAGCTTATCCGCTGCAAGAAGGTGAGCATTATCCTTATCAGTGGAGAGGACAGATTGATGAGCATCAAGGGCAGCCTCAGCACGAGCAACCCTCTCAAAAATGTGGCTGTAATGGAGTTTATTGAGTTCTCGCAAAGGACCTTTCAGATTTTTAAGGCGCTTACAGAGAATGAACATAGGGGACCCGTGAGCCTCAAAGTGCCATTTATCTGCAACCAGATTTAAGAAGTTAGCATGACTGGTCCACATATTAAAAAATTTGAAGCACTTTCTACCCAGCAACTGTCTAGATTGGAAAGAGACTGTAGTGGGGGAATGATCAGAGAATGCTCCAGGATTATCAAAGTGAACATGGGCAGAAGAAGGAGCGAGCGGCCAAAGCGAATTAACAAGAACTCGATCAAGTTTGCTCCAAACCTTGCCATTGGACCATGTGTAATGACAACCAGAATAATTTAAGTCTAGTAACCCAAGGTCAGAACAACATTGCCGGAAATCTGCAGTCTCATAAGTAGACACAGCTTCCCCTTGATGCTTATCTGTTTGAGATAGAAGAGAATTGAAGTCACCTAAAATGAGCCATGGGGAATTAGGACTCCAGTTTCTCAACTCAGCCCAAAGAGAACGCCGAGCAAGAACAGTATTGAATCCATAAACAAAAGTAGCATAAAATCTAAACTGAGAAACTAAGCTAGAGATGAACACATGAAGGCCTTGAGCTGAATAGCCAATCAGATCAACTTGGACAGTGGTAGGGTTCCACAAAACAACAATTCGAGCTGTTGGAGCCGCAGCTGCATTGGTCAACATCTTCCATTTAGCCAGTCGGAATTTCTGCATCAATAACACTTTGGACAAAACCAATTTGGTCTCCAAAAGACCACAAACATCTAATTTATTCTTCCACATGAGGTTGATAACCTCATGTTGTTTTAGAGGGTTGTTTAACCCTCTGATATTCCAGCTGCGAATTAACATAAAGAGGAGGGGGTGGGAAGTAACCCCTCGCCACCCATGTGATGCTGAGCCCTTCTCCTTGTGGGCAAACCAATTGAGCTAAATGAGCAATGACCTGATACACCCGAAACCACAAATTTTCCTTTGTCGGCCCCCTTACTTGTTAAACCCGAAGGAGCTGAAGCTTGGGCAGCAGGGGGAGGTAAAGAAGGCTGGCGTGCGTTATGAACTGGTTGAGGATTCTTTTGGCCCAAGCGGGACGGGGGTCCAGAAGGAGGCCTGGAGAGAGGAGATTTACGCTTAGCTTTTTTGTTCTGAACAACTTCCCAGTCACCAGAGGTAGGCTCAACAACCCCTTTTGCAGGAGCAAGATCAGTGTCAACTGGCATAGAATCGGGTATACATGGAGCAGGGAAGTTGGCTTGGGGGCTGTCGACAACAGCAGCATCACCCTGAGGCCCCAAACGATTGAACTAGCCCTGCCAGTAGAGACTGGAACAACAGGGTCATGAGCCCGCTGGGTGGGTGAGGCTGTTGGAGGCTGAGACTTGGTACAAGTGGAAGCGATGTGCCCAAAGGTCCGACAGTGCTTGCAAAAGCGTAGGAGGGTCTCATAAACAACTTGTTGATGGAGAATACTGCCATTAGGTAGAGTAACCTCAATGGAGTAAGGTAAATCAGACAGCAAATTGACTTCTACCAACACCCTGACATATGATAGTTTGGACATGGAAGAAGTGAGCATGTCACTTTGAATAGGTTTAACAAGAACATTGGCAATTTTTTATAGACATTTGAGAGATCAGCTGATTAGTACTTAAAAGTGCATTTTTATCAAGGTTTTATATCATCATTTTGCACTTGAAATATCAATAACTTCTTAACTAAAACATGTTTTATAATAATATATCTAATAATATAAGATACCTTTAATTTGTGGTGAATGTTCATTTTAAATGCAGGCCTATCACATAAATGAAAGGATTGATTGATGAATTTAAGAACTGAAATTGAAAGGACAAAGAGATAACCAAACTTAGAAAAGAGATGTCGGTGCAATCCAAACCGGAACACTATTCGGTAATTGGGTCATATCTGGAGCTATAGATCTCATATTTAGGTCTACTTTATATGGATGGAAAGGTAAGACATAAGCCTATAACTTTCATATGGAGCCCAAGATCTAAAAAGGTCATTTTCGAGTCCAAATTGTTGCATATGTCCTCCAGCCCAAGCACTGTTCAGTATTTTAGCCATATCTGGAGTTCTAGAAGTCGAAATAAGCTGAATTGTTTACACAAGAAATATGAGACAATTGCCTACAACTTTCATGTTTTTGAATGGCTCCAATTTTGACGTTATCAATGATGTTTTGGGCAGAAAAGAGAAGATAAGGATTGTCACCAAGTCAAGAGTTGGCCACCCACTCATCAATTAATCATCAAATCAATAATTCTCAATTTTGGCCTATAAAAGGAGGCATTTGCCATGCATTTAGGCATCTTGGTTTCCAGATCAAGATCATGCTCTTGTTTTCTCTCTTTGTATTTTTTGTAATGTTTATGCTTTGCTTTCATTAATATCAAGTTTATGCCTTTTGTTTCCTTTCCTTTACTTAGTTAACTTTTATCTTATTTATGTTTTTATTTTGTTTATTTATTTTTCTTTCTTTCATTATGTCTAGCTAAGTTTATTATGTCAAGGTGAAAAGGCTACACTAATGGTGTAAGAGAAAAGGTTACACTAATGGTGTGAGAATAAGTATAATGTAAACTTAATATGGACTTTAATGTTTGATACTAACATGTTTTGTATTTGTTATCTTGTTCACTCTTTAATACTTTGCTTGTTAAATGACTAATCTTGATTTATGTTGTATAACACTTGGTACAACAAATGTTTGGCACTTTCATAGCCCATACTGTATGGTATAACTGACACCTGAGCTATAAAAGGAAGTTGATTTGTTGTTAACATAAGTTATAATCATGAATGCTTGATGAGATTTACAAGTACTAGCATTAATCGAATAAGATGACTAATGTAATCATGTTAACAATCTATAATCTGATTGGAACCTCTTTTGTGTGTGGTTTCCAATTGAATAATAAGAGTTTATACTATACTTGTTTGACATACCATTAGTTAGTCATTTACCTCTAACCTTGACATTTGTTATTATCACTATTTAATCCTTACGTTAATCTTTCCATCTCAATGTTCTCATCAACTTCTTCTTTTTCTTCTTCTTCTATTATTACTACTACTACTACTACTACTATTGTTATTGTAATTATTGTTATTGTTGTTATTACTATTATTATTGTTGTTGTTGTTGTTACTATTGTCGTTTATAATTTGTACAATTAACCTCTCTATGGTTCGACCCCGGTCTTGCCGAGTTATTTATTACTTCGACACTCTTGCACTTAGGAGAAGACATCAATCTTTTAGTCGTGTCACCAGCACTTGAGAGGAAGGTTAGGGAATTTAATCCATAGTGGAACAGTATGCATATTAGAAGAAGAGAAGTCAGAATATTCTGGCATTGCCCTAAGAATTAAAGGCCTGCCATAGACAAGATAAGGGCCACCAGATAGAACATTCAATTTATCAACTTCATTAGCAAATTAAAAGATCAGCCAGCCAGAAGCATGGATGGTTAAAGATGCTTCACAGTGCCAGGAGTTAACAATGAGATTCTACAAAGCTTTAAACCCTGGGGAGCGACCAGCAATATAGCCGACAAGACTCAACATTTCTATATTTTTTGAATGTATGGGTTGAGTAGAAATGAAAGGAAGGAAGAGAGGATTTTATAGATAAGAAATTAAAAAGGTAATCATACCACCTATATGTAGGCCAACTGGAGTTTTACACTTACACTCTCTCTCTCTATTTATTTATTTATTTATATATTTTTTAAAAAGCAAGTGTATGTACAGGTAGTTGTGATTATGGCTCACATCTTCTCTTAGTTTTACATCCAAGAAAGCTTAAACGCCTTCTATGGGTCGGGTCCCATCTAGTTTTCTTAAACTGGCAAACAGGGTCTTTTTTAGTCAAATTCCCAAGACTAAGTCGATCATATTCTTTAGGAAAATAGGGCTATAAATCATGAATTGCATAATGCATATCTCCACTAGGATGTGTCTCAAGAGTTAATAGAAGATTATTTAAAGACTCCTTAATGAATTGTATTTTATCTTCATGGTTTATAGATACCATTCCTAAAGAACGACATTGTGCATTACAAGTCTATATGGAGCATCGATGACGGACTTTCAGTTGTTTTGCATGACGTTTCTTTGCAAAAGTGCTTTTACTTGTTTGAGGCATGTGTGAAATGAAGGAATTAGAGGACTCACTTAATAATCAGACCTTTGCTTCAATCAGCCATCGAATATCTTCAGGAAGTCCATGATTCATTAAAAACCTCAATCTTGCATATCTAGCATGATAAATTTTTGTAATCACATTCTATGGTAGAATGGGAAAATACTTTTTTAATTTTCAAGAGTGGTGTCCATTTTCAAATAAGAATTGGAAGAGAGATTCAAAGAATTGCACAAATATATACACAAATATCAGTTATTATAAAAAAGTAAAAGAACTGACTTAAGTCATGGAGTACCGTTGTTCGCCATTTGTTCGAGATGAGAGAAACTAGCAAAAATCACTTAAAAAAACACAAAAACTATGTGAGGAAAAAGAATCAATCTTTATATACAGGATCACCTAATTCAATAGAGTCATTTCAACTGAAAAATTATCAAAGTAAACTTTCAAATTATGTCTATGTACATTGAAAACATAGTCATTCTTTAGATTCTTGATATCAGAGGCTCCATATGGACACACATATTTCACAATAAAAGGACCGCTCCATCTTGATCTTAGTTTTCTAGGAAATAAATGGAGTCGAGAATTATAAAGCAAGACTTTATGAGCAACAGTAAATGTTTTTCTCAGTATTTACTTGTTAGGAAACTCTTTGATTCTTGCTTTATGAATTCTTGAATTTTCATATGCATCATTTCTTATTTCCTCAAGCTTATTTATTTGTAATTTTTGTAGTTGACTAGCAGCATCAAGATTTGAATTGAAAGCTTTAATAGCCCAACAAGCTTTATGTTCAAGTTCCAAAAGCAAGTTACAAGGTTTTCCATAGACTAGTCTATAAGGTGACATACCTAATGATGTTTTATATGCAGTTCGATAAGCCTAAAGTGTGTTATTAAGTCTTAAAGACCAGTCTTTCCTATTAGGGTTTTCTATTTTCTCTAAAATTTATTTGATCTTCCTATTAGCAAGCTCTATTTGTCCACTTGTCTAAGGGTGATAAGGGGTGACAACTTTGTGTGTGATTCTATATTTCTTTATTAAAGACTCAAATGACTTGTTGCAGAAATGTGTTCCACCATCACTTATCATGGCTTAAAAGATTCCAAATCGACTCAAAATATTTTCTTTCAAAAACTTTATCACTGTTTTGTGATCATTCTTTTGACTTGGAATTGCCTCTATCCATTTTGAAACATAATTCACTGTGACTAATATGTACAAGAAATCAAATGATGGAGGGAATGGACCCATGAAATCTACACCCCAGCAGTCAAAGATCTCAATGATAAGAATAAGACTTAAAGGCATTGCTTGACCGCTTTTTATGATCGGCTTGTTTTAACTCGCAAGTGCACGAGTGTGCGATGTAGCAATTAACTCGGTAAGATCGAGGTCATATCCACAGAGAGCTAGATCTGGAAATTAAGCTAAGTAACAAAAAAAAAACTCAAGAGAAATTAAATTAACAATAACTTGGTTGAAAATAATTGATGGATTTGTTTTCAAAGATAAAAAAAAATGTAAATAGATTTTAAATGACAAGAAAAGTAAGTCTTGGTCCAAATCAATTTTAATGGTGATGTATTGATGATTTCTTCAACATATATAAGATAACTCAACCTAATCTCAACGATGGTGATATTAGATTGGAAGATATTACAATGAAGATTAGAAAGATGAAGATTGATTATTGCTTAAGAATGAACAAGTACTTTCATATTAAGTAAGACATTGAATCAAGCAATCTCTATACCAAAACTAAAGTTTGTGCATAAAAATTCAAGATTATAACATTACCTAAATGATTTCTAAAATTTCTTTACAATAATAAATCATTCATGAAGAAAATAAGAAGATAAACATTAAGATTCATTCATATCCTAAAGAACTTACCTCAATCACCATTATCCTTGATTTGGATCCAAGAAAGAGTTTAGCCAACCATGATTATATATAAGAACACTTCAATAAACATGAAAGAACTTGAATCCAACTGAAAAAATAAGTTTTACAAACTAAAGAACCGAAATCTATAAAGAAGAACACAATACAATTTCAGAAAAAATTCGGACACAAATCTGACTCTAACTTTGGACAGCAATTCGACCCTCTTCGAAGCTTTTTTTGGAGAAGTCTATTAGAGACATATTTATAGGCAATTCTGTCACCTTTCCAGATCATTAAAGAACAGCTCATTTGGACACCTGAGTCAAAAGTTATGGGCAAAACACCGAAAGGTGTTCTGAAAAATCAAATCAAGACAGCTTTACAACTATTTTGGTGCACGTTTTTCTTCCTCATTTATGAGGTGTCTCCTTCTTCTTTTTGACCCAAAATAATGTTAAAATATCCCCTCCAGCTTTTCATCCATGTGCTTGCCTTCTTGGATCAATGGATTAC